ACAGTATATATTTGCTCAGTGGACATTAAATGTGCGGGCAACGCACGGGTACTACCCCTTGCATTCAACCGAGACTTTATTTTTTCACTTTACGCACATTCAATGCCCTTCCTGCCCTTACATTCTATGTACATTTGAAGGTATTTTTTCTACTTGGGATACGTTTACTTTTTGGTCACAATCGTAACCCCATTTCTAAGAGTACTCAAATTGTAAGTTGTTAAAAATAATGTTACCCATTTGGAGAATAAAAATGCACTAGGAATTATGTATTAAGCCAAATTATACTAAATCCAGAATAAAGTTAACTAAATAAAGAGTAAAGCTTCCTCTGGATTTTGAACCTTGTAATTTTAATATAATTCTGAGAGCATCTACATTCAAAATGGTAACATATTTATTGTTGATGGGAGTGTGCGTGACCATAATTTAAGTATGTATGTTAACTTACTAGTAAAGTTTCCCTTATCAAGAATGCAGGAGAACTCGTGAGATACGCTTTTCCCGGTAACCATTTCATACAAAGGTGTTTCATGAGTGAGTTGTAAATGAGTGGCGAAATCCACGAAGGGGATTTGAATCTTATCGCATCGTTTATTCTTGGACATGTCGCATGTCACGTGTCTAGAAAATGTGGAGTAATGCATAAATTTTATGATTCATAATTTTGGACTAAAATTTAGGAAATCCTTCTCGGCACTTGAACTAAAGTTGGGTAAAGTTTTTGAGATCACAGAAACAATGTTATTATTTTGGAAAATTTATGCATTCGAAATTCGAAATTACGTATGTAAGTATACTATGTAAACCCAGAGCAACATTTTCTTCCTAAAAAGCAACGTTTACTCTGGATTTAAATGCACTCTAAACAAAGTTGTAGAAAATTTCTACAAGGTTGTGTAAAATTTTGTCCAAGGTTGGGTAAAAAAGAGGATGACACAACCGTTGGTTAAATTTTACTCAACTTTGTTGAGTAATTTTTACTCAACACGTTGTGGAATTTTTACTCAACAAGTTGTGGAATTTTTACACAACACGTTGTGGAATTTTTACTCAACAAACAGTTAAAAATTGATCAATGAATGATTAAAATTTACTCTTTGGTTGATCAAAGGTTGCTTTTTATGCTGATTAAAACACATTCTTTACCTTATTAAAATTCATTATTTATTGTAATTGTACTCGTGTTACATTTTATAAATTCTACATAAGTACAAAACAATTAGTTTTCATAAAAATCATTGGATATTACTTAAAATTACTATATACATGTACAATTAAAATTTTGAGGGATAATCTAACGAAACTCTAATCTAACTACTAACCTCTTCAGCTATTGTGAATAATTTAAGTATGAGGCCAAGTGATGGAATTATTTCAGCAAACAAACAATCAGCACCGTTTACCGTGCAGCAACTTAAAAAACTTTGTCATCACCATCGTTCCTGTAAAAAAATAAGCACAAATAAATATTTTAATTTATTAGAAATTACGATCATATGTGCAAAAAATAAACAAAAATCACGTTACCTTACATTTTTCCAGTCGTTAGGTCATTTTTTGGTAAATTTTGAGAAAAGAAGAGTAAATTTGTTGCTGCTCCTTTTGTGACTTGCTGTAACCAACTGACCATGCAAGTGGCATGCAAGTGGCTGATAAATAGACAGAGTTGATTTTACTCAACCCGTTGACTAAAAATTAATTAACGCGTTGAGTAAAAATTAATCTTCTTGTTGTTCATTTATCGCCCAACATTGATTAATTTTATATTTGATCAGCGAAAAAGTCAAATTTTGTTCAATGTTGAGTAAAACTTACTTTACACAACTTTATTGTGTAAATTTTACGCTTTAGGAGCATACATTTTATCCAACATTGAACAAAATTTGATCAACATCATTTTACTCAACCAGCTTTGCTCAACTTTGTTTAGAGTGTGGTAAAGTTTATAAAATTTAGAGTGCATTAATGTTTCCAAAAGGACAACTTTATTTTTAATTGTGTGTATAATATATAAAATTTAGGCAAAAGTTTCTCCAAAAATTTTCCCTATTCGTCTAAATTTTTGTCAGATTGCCACCTTGGATTTTACTCCAGCTTAAGTAAATTTTAGTCCAATTTATTTAGAGTGTAAATATGTACCTGTAGTAGCATTTCGTAACGTGGTTCTTGGCTTCCGTCGCAGCCAGGGGGACAACACAGCCTGCCGCAAAATTGGGACAATTGCATTCTAATTTGAACTGGCAAAATTATTTGGACAAATTTAGCTTTAATTTATTGTATGAAAAGTAATTTATTTAGTTATGAATATTTGCATATTTAGTTTACGAACTTGTCGCGATAGTCGTTCCGCTAAGATGGATATTTGCAACTTGGTTTGACAAAGCTCACATTTTGTCACCTTATCTGAACAAATGCCGCAGATAATGTGGCCATTGTCGCACTGCTTAATTGGCGATGCGGGTGAATCCAGACAGATTGTGCATTCGAGGGCATCACTTATTCCTCCAGGTGTTAAAGAATACAGGTTTTTCTACATTGCAAGGGGTTAAATTAAGTGGGTCTGTATTTTTGAGATATAAACAAATAAATATGGTTACAAATCTTAATTAAAATTTCGAAACAGGCATGCGATACCATGCAAAATTTCCGAGTAAAAGTTTTAATGGGCTATTTTTTTAATAACTGAGGTCAATATCACAAAATCAAAACTTTGTTTTTGGAAACTTAAATTAAATTAAAAAAATATTACACCTTTAACAAATCAAGAAAGTGAATTTTCAGAAAGACATTTTTTATTTCTTTAAAATTCCGTTAAAATTTGAAAGCTACTCGCATTTGAAAACACGGGGTTAGGCCTGCAAGAAAGCTTAAAACTTTAGATTCTTCCTCAAATTAGGGGATTATGAAAAATCAAAAAATTAAGGGTAAAATATATTAGCCACATGTAAATAAATGTGAGATTTATGTATATGTCAAGGTGAAGGAATTTCATACATTATTAGCATATCAGCGTATGTACTTATGTTACATAAGTTATGTAACATGACACTAAATAAATATGTTCCCAAACAAATTTTAAAAATTACCTGGTTCCCACCCCTTTCCCCTTCTTCTTTCTTATTGGTCCCAAAAAGTTTCAATTCCTTAACCTCACAAAACTTGTAAATTGGTGACCCATCAATCGGACAGGGATACGAGTAGCCCACCCACTTGGCCAAATTCCCCCTTATCGTAACCCAACAAGCCTTACAAATAATATGATCGCACGTGGAGCGCACATAAAATCGTGCCATCTTGTCACAATTCGAGCATAATAACTTCACCAACACATTTTTGCTCAGATAAGCAGAAAAGTGCTGAATCATATCACACGGATTGCAATTTCTGACATATTTCGCATGAAATTTGTCACACCCGGAGGAATCCTTGCTGTAAAGCTGGTCAACAATTTGTAAAATTTCCGCAGTTTCTTCTTCCGCTTCGGAGCAAATTTGTGTCAGTAAGAGTAATAAGTATGAAATAATTTCGCAATCGTTCGAATTTATGAGAAGTTGTCTAACTTCGGAGGTTAGCTCGTTAAAACGAGAGACCCCGGCGACAGAAACCTTCCGGTTTTGGACGATTTTTATTATCTCCTTGGAAACGTTTGGGTCGGTGGTTTTGCAATATTTTGAGAACAATGAGTCAAAACTTTCCATTTTTTAAGTATGTAGAAGAAATTATGCAGCTGGTATGGTGGAGTGGATGGAATAGAGTGAAGTTGATGAGTGGGAGAGGCGAAGCTTGACTCATCTTGGAATTGACATTCTGATAAATGCAATCAAATCAGTGATGGTTTTTCATGGAGGTAATGCAGTAGAGGAACGTCCATATAATACGTGATCATTTTACTGGGTGGGTGGTTTAGGTCTTCCTGCATATCTTTCCTATGCTAAAATTCCCCATCCCTTAATGTTTGCGTTGGGTGGGTGGGTGCAAAAATCGAGAATTTTTGATGACTTTATATATGGATGACCCTCAGCGGAAATGACTTCATCAGTTGGATCTGGAAAATGACTCCCTGTGTGGTGTCCAACGTTTTGCACACAATAAATTATTTGCGCATCGATCCACTTATTTATGTTCATGCATACATTCTTAAAGGATAAGTAGTCTGTGTAAGTGGGGCGATTGATTGATTGATTGATTAGGTTTTTATTAAAGGTGTCGAACAAGCGTCAGTAAAAATACTGTTTTTCAGCTTTGGACACCAAACGCAGCAAAATCGAATACAAATTTATAAAGATAAACCAAAGAATCGTAAAAACAAAACTAAGCCCAATGAGAATTCCGAGTTGTAACCAGTATATACATAGACAAATAACAGAAATAAGAAAGTATTAACCTATACCATAAGCTGCAAAAATACTAATACATACATGTTTCATACTTACGTGTACTTTGACGGAGTTGCCAATTTCGGCGGCAGAAATGGGGGGAGGTGCATTGTGGGATAGGAGGAGGGACTTGGAGTTGGTAGTGGTCTAGGCCTAAACGCCGAAAAATGCCGCCTAGAGAAACTCAAGAAGGTGTACATAGAAAAGAAATTTCAGTTCCTAACTCAAAAGATGACGAAGAAATCTGTGTACTGCCCAAACTCAGAAAAATGGCCATAGCGAATGGGTAGGGGCACCTTTTTTCAAAATTTTTCTTCTATACACCAATTTCATGCCCTATGACCTATTTTTGATGGAAATTCGAAAATCTGAAATCCAGCTGCCGAAGCTTACCTACGTGGTATGGAAAATGGTTTTTACTCACCTTAGAAAAATATGTTTCCAGAAATTTTTACAGTTGGTAATTTAAGGGTGCATTTCTTGTGAAAATGTAAATTAACACACACAATTTTTTAATACATGTGAACCTTTGGTTATTACAAAAAAATATTGACCATGTTGAAATATGTATGTACATATGTTAATGTTGTACCCACGAAGGGAACCATTTTCTGAGAAGGGTACCTTCCTTATTTTGACCCGTCCACCGTGACGTCGGAAGTTTTTCTCTCACTCGTCCCACACATGTAACTGGAGGAGGTTGCACAAATTACATCGTGACATTAATTTTTTTGGGAAACCTTCGCATTTTGAAACTTAGGAATTTAAAGTAAGTTGCAAATTTTGTTGTTAACTGACAAATATGTATCTGTGCATTTATGTACCATGCGTTTTAGCTGACAAAATCGGTACTAATTTTCCATCTCGTGAAATGTAGTTTAATTTTTGAAAATATACCAATTTTTAAGAAAACATGGATATTTTTGCCCTTAATTTTAACTAAATAAATTCCTTTTCAACGTTTTCACTTGTAGAAAGAAAATTGTAATTAAACATGTTCACATGACATACATATTTACATGCATAATTAATGTACTTATTAACTAATAATACTAATACTATTTAATTGCAGCAAAATTTCGCAACTATTTACATACAATGGATTCAAACTACAACGCCAATATCTCGACGGGATACTATGACATGTGGACCAGCCCGAACTTCATGGCGTCTATCCCGTATGCATTACTTGTTGCGACCGACCTGGGAACCGAACCGGACAATGTAAAACAAGGTAAGAAATGCCTAAATTTCCCAAATGACATGTTTTTTATTACGTTAAACAATATCGCAATTGACGCAGTGTTTTGTAAATTTGTACATAAGTAAAATCCAATTTATGTACCATTAATTACTTCAGAGGAAAATCCATTTACAAATTTTTCTAAGCTTTCGCAGTTTAAGTTATTTTATCTATAAATTCATTTCACAAATCTTATGGATTTGCAAGTTATCAATAACTTCGAAATAAAAATTTCAAAAAATTTCTTTAAAAATATTAAAAATTCGAAACCATGCTTGAGGCAAAATTTATAAAATTCTTAAGCTTTTATAAATATTTCCGAAACAATTAGCTTCCAATTTTCTAAACCTGTAGGTTAATCTGTAATCACATTAAGGGTGTCCTTTTATCCTGCCAAACTTTGCACATGATTAAAATTATTTTACAAAACTTGCGAAATTGGGTAAAATTCCCAAGGACTTGCTTGAATTGTCTCATTATTTCCTATTTAGTGCAAAATTACCTCAATAATTCGTTAATTCTTAAAATTTAGGCAATTTTGAACAACTCGATGCCCCGAGCGGTTTCAAATCTTCTCCAGTTCGTGAAGCGGAACGCCTCCAAGACAAAGACGAAGTGGACACGCGCCAACAAACCGAACCATCGCCCATTCAAAATTGGAGACCTTCCCGTGGTTCAAATTCATCCGAAAAATCCGAGGACAATGATTCATCCACCACCGCGTCCGAAACGGAGGACAACAACTCGTCGACCGAAACAGTGTACGATTCCTCCTCCATGGGATCTGAAACGGGGTACGATTTATCCACCACATGGTCTGAAACGCGGGACGATACCACCACGTGGTCAGGAAATGAGGACTCTTCCGATTCGCAGGAAGATGACGTTGCGGAAGTGATTTCAAATTGGAAGACAGCGTTGAGAAAGGAGCAGGCAAAAGAGAATGCCCGGATTGCCAAGGAAATGAAAAAGGCTGCTTCACTGGATTGCAGATTGCAGAGCACTCCTCCCACCGGGCTCCTCTGGACTGGGTTGCTAAAAATAGTGGAGAAACACGGATGTTGCAGGTCTGGTGACTGCCGCCGGAGTATGAACAGGTTGCATAGAAGGCCGAAAATGGAAAAAGGTGGAGACAAATTGTGAAATTTTGATGTTGTGATCGGGATAATTTATTTATTAAGTAGTTTTTAGTAATTTTTTTAATTTTTGACAGCGGTAGAAATAATTTACACTATGGTCCAATTATTAATAGTAATTATTTGAATTAAGTTTGAATTAGAATAAATTTACTTATGCAAATGCAACTCTGAAATATTTTGTATTTATAATGTAATCTTGAGACCTTAAAACATGGCAAAAATGCTGGGTCAATTTACAAGCTAAAATCCCACCCCTTTCCTGCACAATACTTTCGAAATCTCGCGAATTTTACAAAAAAAATTATTAAGCTACATATGCATGTGCTCAGCTCAGACATATGAAGGTTGTTGTAAATATGCACATTTATTAAAACAATGGGGGTATTCATTTCGAGTTCGCATAGTAAGCAAAAAAATTCGCAGGTTCGTAAAAACTTGAAAGTTTATTATCTTTAGTTTCCAATTAAATATATTTAAACAGTTTGGCCGAATAAATAATTACATATTTTAAGTCACCAACCTCACGAGTACGTAATATGTAGATATACATGTTTTCGAAAGACGACTAAATCTACCCGATTCAGACTCTGACTCGTAGTTTCAGAAAACTTGTCTCAAGGAAAAGTCAGATTCACTCCCAGAACTATTTATTGACCACGCTCAAATTAATCGGTATCACAAAGTTTTATATTTCTGACGAGAGCACAATTATTTCACTATTATCAAAAACGGTATCGAGTTATTTCTAGTCTATCATTTTTACATGTAACCCCATAGAAATGTCTGCCAATTATTTTACAATTAAAATTATCTATGTATGTATGTGTACATTTATGTACATCATATTTAACACATATGTCAAATACAATTGAAATTGCTAACTTTTGGCAAGTGTTTAAAGCAGATTTAAGTATCTAGTAAGATATGTATCTGGTCCAAAATTGAGCAACGAAAACATTTTAAACAATCGTATACGTAAAATTTAAATAAAACTTGTTAGCATCTCGTAAATCCTTATTTACTCCAAACTGGGTCATAACGCAGGCCGGGATCGAAACGCACTTTCCCTTCATTGTTTCCGGGTTAAACTTGGAGTGGTCATGATACGCCAACACGGGCATTGTGTAGGATTGTTCCATCTACATATTTACATACATATTTATGTAAATGTAAAATCTTGGTTTGCATATTATCAAGGTCACACTTTTAAGAATAATGTAACACATTTGAAAAGTCTATCAGAATTATAAATTAAGTAAACTATGTATACTGATCCTAAATCCACCGAAATCGTTAACTTGATAACGAGCAAAGTTTACTCTGGATTTAGTATAATTTACATATTAAGCACGGAATTGAGAGTGCATCTAGTTTTAAAAGGGTAACTTTATTTTTAAGAGGATACGCAAATTATGCGACCAAATTCAGAGGGTTAGGTGCGGGACCTAAACACAATTTACCAGACTTGCATATGCTGGAACTTTATTTGGTGTAAAATTTGATTACGTGGCGAAATTTCAACAAAAAACTTTTTTTAATTCTGCTTTTCAAATAATGATTCGATTTTAAGAAAATCAGATATGTTTTTATAATTTATGATTTGTTTCGAATGTTAAAAATATGAATCTAAAAAAAGATGTTTAACTCCTTATATTGTGTCGGGCACTTACTTTTGTTTTACTGTCGCTGTCATGGCTTATTTTCAAGTGAAAGTAGTGTTTCTCAGCCTCATCCCGATTTCCCAGAACTGTTACCCAAATGCTTTCGAAATGGATTCCGGTATGAAAATGGAAGAAAAAAAACTTGCCGTGTTTCGTTAATACTCTAAAAATTCCGGTATCTCCTGGTCCTACAAACATACATTTTTTATACACTCTTAAAAATAACGTTACCCCTTTGAAAAGTAAATAAATGCATTCCGAATTCTTAATTAAACAATGTTTACTAAAAATGGGGACGCAAACCATGTTCAACCCGGATTATTTTTTTACCACGTCAGTTTAACTTTTCAGAAACAAGGCTTCCTGCGACGATTACGAGATATGTGAAAATTTCAGCAAGTTTTGAGCGCCGCAAGTTCACTAAAACACCAAACTGCTGCGTATTAACAGATTCCGCTGGAAACCCAGGGTTTTCGCAAACTCGCTACGCCATTATCTGGCTGAATTTTTCGCATCTGCACAAGTGCCGCGGTAAACCGTGTATGCAAAGAATTGCTCTTTCAAACTGACATTTGCATGAAAAAATAATCTGGATTGAACATGGTTTGCGTCCCCAATGTACATAAGTTCTACTCTTTATCAAGTTAACGTCACTCCGAATTTATGTACATACATCGTACTGTCAAACTACTTAACTTAGAATTGAGAGTACATTTCCTTTTCAATGGGGTAACATTATTTTTAAGAGTGTGTGTGAAATCAAATATATATTTTTACTTGTGTAAATATGTAGAAATTACAGTGTCGGACAGATGTCTACGTCCACATAGTCGCGTCAATTTCATTTTCAAATTGTCACTGAACTACTGAACCAATTTTCATCATTGATATATCAAATTCTCACAAATTTAACGTAATTTCATAAAACATATGAGTTATTTCTGAAAATTCTGGGAAAACTGAGAATCATAGTGCAGAGCGAGAGAGGATGAAATTTGAGCGGACAAAAGTCTACGTCCACTTCACTTTAATTGTCAACAACAAAAATCTCTCCAATTTATAAAATCAGGTAACTTAATAAATCTATCAATAACATATGCCGCATTAATTTTTAAATAATTTTCTTCCAGAAAAATATGATGGCGTCGACACGCAAGGAAATTCCTATCGCTATTCGAGATCTTGTCATTCAGGACTGGAAGGGTGGACAAAAAGGGGGCTGTCGCAGAGACAAATATGGACCAAGTATAAATTAGCAAGGACAACCATCCAGACAATCATTAAGAACTTTAAAGCTAATGGTTCAGTCCAAAACAAGGTCAGAAGTGGTCGAAAACCCATTTTGGCTCACCGAGAAGTACGCCACGTGCTCAACAAAGTTAACGTTACACCCTCACTTAGTGCTCCAAAGCTATCTACCGAGATCAAGGAGATGTTCGGCAAACAGGTTAGTCCTATGACCATCCAAAGAACACTGAATAAGGGAAATTTGAAATCCCACAGAGCAGTCCGGAAGCCTCTTATTGTACCGAGGAATGCAACCAAACGAGTGAAGTTTGCCAGAGACCACATTTCCAAGCCACAAACATTCTGGGACATATTTTATGGACTGACGAGTCAAAGTTCAATGTCTTTGGGTCAGATGGGCGTCGTAGAGTGTGGAGATATCCAAAAGAAGCTTTGAATCCAAAAAATCTCAACCCCACAGTTAAGCACGGCGGCGGGTCGGTAATGGTGTGGGGATGCATGGCTTCAAGTGGGGCAGGAAAAATGGAATTTATTGACGGAATTATGGACCAATACAAGTACCAGGGAATACTTGACCGTAATATCCAGGAATCTGTTCGAAAACACTCTGCCAAGTCCACCATGGAATACTTCAAGAAAAAAAAATTCCGAAGCTAGAATGGCCTCCCCAATCTCCAGACTTGAATCCCATTGAGCATCTGTGCGACCACATTGAAAGAGAAATAAGAAAACAATCTTTTTCAGGAATTCCGGGCCTTAAATCCAGAATTCGTGAAGTTTGGGAAACCATTTCTGAAGATGTGACCAAGAATTTGGTAAACTCAATGACTCGACGCCTTGAAGCCGTCCTTAAAGCGAACGGAGGCCCAACCAAATATTAAAAATTAATTGTTATAACATTCCTTATAAATTACAGTTTTTTTTGTATGTTTTCTCTGACTGGACGTTGACTTTTGTCCATCTAATTGTTTTCATTTTGAATTAAAATACATCTCTGGCCTAAAATAAATTTTTTAGCGGAAAACTAATAATGTGCTATGAAATTACGTTAAATTTGTGAGAATTTGATATATCAATGATGAAAATTGGTTCAGTAGTTCAGTGACAATTTGAAAATGAAATTGACGCGACTATGTGGACGTAGACATCTGTCCGACACTGTATGTTGTTTTTACTTACTTGCAAAGTTGTCGCCGGCCAGCGTGAAGGACGGATTTTGAGTCACATAGCTTCCATCATCCACTTCATCGAAGGCTATTTCATGCCACACTTGTAAATGCATGGCAAATTTTTGGAATGGAATTTGATACTGATCGCATTCATTTCCCCATTGTTCTTGGCATATGACGTCTCTTGAAAGAAAATGTTACAGAAAATTAGGAAACATTTGTGTCGACCGCTTTCGTATTGCTGATTTGTTTATAAAATTTCTACTGGGTGCAACTTAGATTTCATAATCCTTGTGCCAAACAATGAAGATTTTTTTAAGTTTTGAGTTTTTTTTAGAAAAAAAATACACTTTTTACCATCTAGTTTTCCGTAAAATACTAAAGAAATACTAAGGTATTACTTATTTGTGAGAAATCTTTGTGCTATGGTAATTTTTGCATTACATATTACATTAAATTTCGATTTTTCTATCTCAACGGAAAATAATCAGCTAAACAAATTTGTGTATTTCGTCAGTAAGAGGTTGATAAATAGTGCAAAAAATTAGAATGAGTTTTGGCATTTGTTAAGCTCCTGTTTGGAATTGCATGCATACCTGTACTCGCAAATTTCCATGTGGTTCTTCACGTCCGCCCCGGCAATTTTGGCGACACACCCATTGGGACAACTGCATTTTAAATTGAACTGCAAAAAAATTGTGATATTATCGGAAATTATCCTGAATTGTCGAAAATTATAATTATTTTTCTTACTTGTCGGGACAGTCTTTCCGCCAAAACGGATACTTGCAAATTTGTCTTGCAGAGGCCGCAATTTGTTATCTTTTCTGCACAAATGCCACAAACAACGTGGCCATTTTCGCACTCATTAATCGGCGATGCGGCCGAATCCAGGCAAATGGTGCATTCGAGGGCTTCGCTCAGAGCGGGTGTCGAGGGAGCATCGGATTTCTAAAGGTAAAGATTTTAATTAATGAAATGCAATCCTTTTTACTTTTACATACTTGTTCAGATTCATTTGTTCAACAGAAATTGAATAAATTATGCATTCATTAATCAAAAAATTCAAAAAAATGACTTAATAATTTTTTTAATTGTTGACTAAATGAACATAAAATCAATATTTATTCAGTTCATATTTAAGTATGAAGAATAAATGAATAATTTTACTCATTTTTCATTTCTCGTCGTATTCTTAATAAATTCATTGGTACATATATATATTTAGAAATCCGTGTAATTTGAGATAAACAACCCTAGTAAAAATTTGAACAAATTTCCTGCATAAAATTGGCCCAATATTCTGCAGAAAATTGGCCCAATTTTCTGCAGAAAAGCTTTATGCATAGAGCTTTCTGAAGAAACCTATGCAGAATTATGCATAATTATGCACATATGGTTCTGCAGGATAATAGCGACACAAATTTTCTGCAGGATTATGTAAAAAAAAATATGCATAATACAATATGCATAGGGTTTTTGTCGATTTCTGCAGAATTCGGCAGAGTGATTTCAACCAGGGAAGGCTAATTTGAGATAAACCCAATAAAAAATATGGAATGAATAATGAATAGATAGTTATTTTAAAGTTTTGAATAAATTGCTATAAATTCGTGTGTAAATGTAAGGAATGATTTTTTTTATTTTTAAGTTGAATGAATTTTAAGTGAAGGGATATTTTTTTAACAGGTGTATAATTTCACTATGTGTAATCAACTCTTTCAATTTTATGTAAATTTTAAACTATATAGATACATGCCTCGTTGTCTTTCAAGTCGAACCTTCCCTCGTTCCTGGAATTTTCCATTTTTCTGAATAATGCGTATTTATGTATGAGCGATAACAAAATTGGATTTAACTTTGCGTTCGGATTAAACCGCAATGGACTTGACGAGTGAGAAACAAACAAGTTTAATGCTTGATTCGTTTTAGCTGCACTCTTAGAAATCCAGTATTAAAATTGATGATGGTCTGACCCAAATGGTAGTGTTAAGTAATACAATGTAGTAATAGCCCGTTTTGCCAGATCAGTGGTAAATTTTTACGGTACAATATAATCTTAATACCAAGTACTAGAAATCTTAATACCGAGAAATCAATATGTGCATGACCAGACGTCGGATATGAATGACCGACAAAACCTCAAAATATGAATGAAAAATTACCGTAAAAATCCCCAAAATATGACCATAAAAATGAGTTTATTCTTTAAATTTTTGGCTAAATTTTTTGAAATATTTTCCTGTAATGCTAAATTTTTATCAATTAAACAAGTTCTAGTGTAATTTAATTCATTCAAAATGAATTAAATCACATCAGGCGAAAGTGAACGTAAATTTCTGAAAGTTTCTCAGAATGATTCATTGTGAGAAAAGTGAATTTTTTGTCGATTTGGTTGCCAAATCTAAGAATTTGGCCAAAAATGATAAAATGAACGAAAAAAGCCCGAAATATGATCGGGAATATGAATATGTCCCAAAACCCGAAAATATGCTTTGACCTACGTGACCGGCTAGTGACCATAAACATTTTCAGAAAGTTTGGCGACTGTAGGTCAATAAATGGAAAAAGTCATTTTTCATTCATATCCGACGTATGTGCATGACTATGCCAGATTTTTAACAGTGTGCAAGTATGCATGAATCTTATCAATGGTGGGGATTCATGGTTGGGAAGGGCAGCGGACGGTGATTCACGACGCACATATTTGTTAGGGACCGTCCATAAATTATGTTACACGTGAGGGGGAGGAGGTCTAATGTTCCGACAATTATATCGTGCCTGAATGACACGTGTTAAAGGGGGGTGTTGAAATTTGCGATTTTTGAGTGACATAATTTGTGGATGTCCCCTTAGTAGCCCCAAATAATAAAGACAATGCCATTGACAAAATTCTGGCCACGTACATATGTAAATATGTACGGTATGCATTTCAATTACGAGTCAGAAAATTTGCGACTTGTGGTTAAACGTTGTTTGTTATCAAAGTTGGATTAATCATTAATGGGTTTTCAATGAAGTTAAATATGTATATGTATTACTTTAACATTCATCTCTGCGTCATCCAGCGTGATTCATGCTGCATGAATTTGTCCCCTAGGGGGCCGTACATGAAGAATGCGATCAAATTGGGGGGAGTCCGACCAATTCCCGGCTGGTTTGACCTGTATGACCCTAGTTAAATTTAATACCGGAACTTTCAAATTTACAATATTTTGAAGTTAGTGCCTTCTGGGAATGTCCATGTTTGACTTCATCAAAAATGTGGGTGGATGGTTTTGGGTCGCCTATCTTACTTGTGTTAAGCTTAACATGAGTAGGATAGGAGAGGGATGGGTGGGTGGTGTAAAAATCCGCGTTCTTTTGATGACTTTATATATGGACGTTCCTTATTCTTTTCATTCATAAGAGTAACACAATATTGGATTGTGTGCATGGATTGCTTTAATCTGCACTGGGGTTTAGAAGGCCACGTTCATGGAAATGATTAAACAAAGCAAGATAACGCTTACATAGGTATGTATGAAAGGTTTGCAAGCTAATACCTATTTATATATGTAAATGGATTAAAAAATACCAATTAACTTCATATGAAATTAATGGTAAGCAAACTCCAAACGGTCAACACAATTACTTCGTAATTTACATAAATGTGTATTCATAACTTATGCAATTGCAAACTGATTTGCACCGGTCTGCTTTCCATATTTATTCATTCATTTGCAAATGATACTTTATAATCCTAATCATTTCAAGCGATGGGGATATTTAGAAATGCCTGAAATACATATATGCCAAATGATTCGTAACATTTATTACTGGTAACATTATTAAATGTATGTAACATGGTCTACTACATGATTTTTATATAGTTTTACCTCACATTTGAAAAACTAGATTTTCAGGAATTTTGGAGTAGGAAATTATGCAGGCATGATCCTCTGCTGGAAGCCAATTCCTGATACAAAATTTATAAATATACAGAATATTATTAAATATTAAGTTTATATAAAGTACAAAAAGTTAATTTTGTACCCAAGAAAGGACCCATTTTCCGAGAAGGGTGCCTTCCTACGTGCCTTATTTTAAGACGTCCACCGTGATGCTGGAAGGTTGGGAAAGTTTTGGACTCACTCATCCCGCATCACTGGAAGAGGTTAGACACACCTTAAAATACTTCCAACTTTTGGGAAACTTGGGATTTTAGGTAAGTTATCAATTTTGAATTAACCTCTTAAATACGAACAAATTTAGACACAATTACTATGAATTTTAGTAAAAAAAAAGATTACCGCTATATAATTTTCAATGTCGTGTAAAATGAAGATCTTGCATTTTGAAAAATATATATATTTACCCCTAATTATTAATAATTATTAACATTTCAAAATGTATACAAATATTTTGCGGTCAATTAAAATTTGATAATTTTAGTTCCCACTTCTTCAGTTCTTCATGCATAGAAATAAAAATATGATTGGAATATAAAGTCAATAAGTAATGTAACGCAGTAATTAATAAAGTAATTTATCTACTTGCAGAATTTCTCAGCTACATATTTGCAATGGAGTCCATCTACAACGCTACAATTTCTGTGGGGTATGATGAATTGTGGACGAGCAAAAATTTGATGCCAAACCCGTCTTCAATATATTTCGAGGCTGAAGAACAAATGGAGTCGGAGCATGTAAAGCAAGGTGAGAAATGCGATAGATTCTTAATTTTACATGGATATGCCGTTTTTATCTTTTTAAATATATAATGACGCAATTCGAATATGTCCTGGTAAATAAATTGCAAAATCCATAGATCCAAATTTTTGCAATCTTGCTCAAATATTTCCAAGAAAAATTATTTTACAAAGCCTTATACAGATTACGGATTTTGCAAAGTTATATGGCCACATAATCCCCTAACTCAAATCCATGCCTGTGTGGTCGCATGTAATCACGCAATTTACTAACTTGAGGAAAAATGAGACTTTGTGCCTAACACGTAGATTATCAAGAAAAACATGTTCCACATTTCCATGATGGAAATTCCATCGCTCGCCCCAATCTAACAACACAACTTTCGGGGCAAAACGAGATTTTGTGCTAAATACATTAGTTATCATTATACAACTTGTTTTATTGCTCGCCACACTTGGTCCCACCCACTTAGGGATGATATTAAATTTTTTTAATTCGTTATGCTTTTGGGAATTATGTAATTGCCTGGATAGGATGTAAGAGAGTAATCTCTCTTGAGCACATCACTGAGTGAGGCAAAATGAGATTTCCATAACTTAAGCCAGATTTTTTGAAAGTAAATGTTTGTTCACGCGGCGAACCCAACTGGCTTTTTTTATTTGGAGTGAGCCAGAAAGGGTTCGCGAAAAGTGCATAAGGAAAAACGTATTGATATAGGGTTCATTTTTCCCCCTTAGTCGGTAGTATTCACGCAGCGCGTGGTAGATGCTGCCCGGCCAAGCAGTGCGTGATTCGCCCCATGACCACCTGGTCTCACTGTCACCACCGCTCATCGCCGTATATCCTGGGATCAAAAATGACGTTGAAGTCACATAGGTGGCGTCTGCACCCCAATTTGTGCACAGAGCACACCATGGTAGAGCACCAAATTTGGGGAGACGCGACTCCGAAATTGGACAGAGTATGCCACCTATACGTCCTTTTTGATGCCAGGGTATGTAGCGAAGAGCGGTGGTGGCGGGGAGAGTTGCAGCCACCACGTTTGTCAGCTGCAACGAAATCGTGTGTGCTCCAAAAATCTCACTTTTTGATCTGTTTTACGTGTGCTTTTTTTCAAATACACTTTCCAGGAACTCTAACTGTGCTTCAGTTAGAGTCCTCGCAGGAACTAAGTAAATATCATTCGCGAAGTATTTGATTATTCATTCCTAAAAATCGAATGAATTTTACACAAATTTTATTTTGTCCTAAAGTGGGCGTGTCCAAGTGGAGCCGAGCAATAAAACAAGTTGCATACTGATAATCAATGCGTTTGGCATAGCGTCTCATTTTGCCACGAAAATGCGTGCAGTCAAGCAAGGGCGACTAACAAAAACGTTATAACTATAATAATCATAAAAAAATGCGTCAATCATGATTTCTTAATTTCCAAAATTTAGACACTTTCCACCTATCCAACGGCTTCAAGTTTTCCGCCATTCGTGAAGTGGACGACCCTTTCGAAGACGAATGTGATGACGAAAACGGAGCATCAGAGGGCAGCGAGGGTACGCAAAGTTGCGTATTTTCCAGCATCTCAAATTCCACCGAAAACAGCGAGGTTGACGCGTCGTCTACCACGTCCACCTCTGAAACTGATGACTCCGATTCGGAAGAAATTGATCCGGACGACTCCGACTGGGAGGACTGCAACTCCTCCGAGGTCGATAACGTTGAAGAAGTTGTCCAAAATTGGAAAAGAGCATACGCAGCAGATCCAGATTCTGACGAAGAAGTGGCATGCAACATGACGAAATTGAAAATTGCATCGGAGAAGGCTGGCTGCGCAGGACTTTTGCAGAGATTGGAGACTCATTTAGACAAATTTTACAGTGTCGATTTTAATGATGATTGCGCTCTTGAAAACTTCGGGCGGAAGGCAGACAGGTTGCATCGGGGAAAGGCAGGACGTGAAGAAAGGAGGGGAAAAATGGGAAAAAAGTAGTAAAATTTTGACATTTTTGTGGGGATTAGTTTGTTTATTCCATAGATAATTTTCTTAGATATGTAAACTTAACTACCGTTTTTATAAATTATTTGCTGCCATGCGTGCCTATGTAATTGACACTGGATTCGGTTAAAATGTTCTGACATTAACAAGAAATAATTCGTGGATAAATTTGAGCAGAATTTAAATAAAATTATATAACTTAAATCCAACCGAAAAATATTTGAAACTTATACGATATCATGTTACAAAATTTTACAATCTTGAATGAAACTCCCTGAATATGACAATTTCGGATAATAAATTTCTAATAATTGTATATGACTGTATGCAATTCATGCTTTTCTCGCTGCTCAAACCATAAAAGACAACATATGCAATTTTGCTTTTATCACGAACTTAACAATGTTGTTACCACTTTACAAAGTACTAATTAAGTTGTTTACGTACCACCAAAACGAGAGTAACTCTAACTTGATAACTTGATAAAGAGGAAAGTTGACTTTACATACATAGATTTAGCATAATTTGAAATTTAGAGTGCATTTACCTTTCAATAGAGTGCCACTATTATTAAAGGTGCAGACTGATAAATATTACACGAAAAGGATGCGTCTATAAATAAAGTTCTGAGAATTACGTAGAGCTGATGATTCTTAGTCACGACCAGGGTCCATCCATCCAATTAGTGCATATGTACATTTCCCTTTAAGTACACGTGTTTAGGCATGTTTACTATCCTTCAGATGTGTGAAGGCCCTTCATTTTCTCCAGTGGAGGAAACTACGGCAGAAAATATGTTGTGGCTAAATTTTAGTCAGTTATGCATAGCTTGCCGAGGGGCGAGTATGTAACCAGTGACTGGTCAGTCATTCTCTTGAATTTCGAAATTATGTAGTCATAAACTTGTGGGTAGGAAAGATACTTATTCATAAAATTCGTAGTAAAATCCCGCAATTTAGAAGTTTTTGATTTTTGTGCTGAATATTTAAATCTGCAGTGTTCAATTTTCAAAATTTATAGAACTTTTACACAAGGACAAATTTAGTTAGTTAGATTTTTTTACGAAGTTTGATAGATAATTGTGGTAAAATTTTTAAGTGTAATTGACCATGGAAATCCCGAGGGACCAGGGGCACGCGAACAAGGAATCTACCCGGATAAATTCTACCCATATGCAAAATATTAACCCACCAATGGTACAACCTCCCCCCGGATTCGCTCCAGTGACACGAAACGAGTTGCAAATGGTGGCAGATCACTTGCAAAGTAAGTGAATAGTGGAAATTGCACATCTTTTTGCATATAAGTAGTACAAAGATATAGAATATTTATGACGTTCAATTTCCTAAAATCTTGATTTGTACATTTACATACATACGTAGGTATCCATGATTATTGATACCTTTTTCATTTAAAAGCGATTTTAAAATTTTCAATATTCTATATAATGTACATTAAGCATAAAACATTACCATAATAGCAAATGTTTTTTTTAATTCAGAAATATTTGGCGAGATGATTGGACAAATGGATAAACTCCACAACTCCAAATGTTCCCAGGAATCAGACAATTTTCACACAAAGGAGGTACAATCCACGCACAAAATTCGCAAATCATTCTCATCTCCCGCAGAATTAATGTCGCTACAAAATTGCTACCAAGAAAATGAAGGCGCCACATCAAGTAGAGAATATTCTGTAAAATGCGAAACCTTCTCCGATGATGCCGACGCGGATAATGAAGACGACGGAGGCGCCGAGCAGATTGAGGTAAATACTCGAAAAACCAAGAAACCGAAGAAGAAGAGGCATTCAAAAATTCAAGAATTATTCAACCAAATGGATGACAGCGATGATGATAATTTTGACAAAGAAAACGAGAACAAAACCACGATCCGCAGACGATCCAAGGTGGGGCGGAATAGCTGGGAATATGCAAATTTGCGCTGTATTAGCTCTTATTATTTGTGCTATTATTCGTAAAACTTTATTATCGTTAATATTTTAGAAAAATGTGTGACAGGGCTTCGAATATGATGTAAATATTTAGTTTAGTTATCAATTAAAATATAGCAAGCCTTATACGATCACACTCTTAAAAATTCAGACTTAAAATAATTCCTAGCATTACTCATACATGCATGACTTTACCAAAGTTGTTTTGATAAGGACGGTAATAATGTGTAGCTCGGTATTAAAGTTTTATCATATCGGGAGCAAATTTTTTCGGACAGGTGTAATTTTCTAAACCCGAGAGGTAACAACTTTAATACCGGGAATTCAATGCGTTCGTGACTATCACATATTTACATATTTATGCATAATCGTGCATGATATAGTTTATGCAAACATGCCGTTCCAACTAAAAAAAATTTGAATCAATAAATCTCATAAAATCAGGTACTCGGTTTAATCGCATAAATTTTGCAGAATTTCGTCACCCCTTCAATTCGGAAGTGTCCCGTTTATCGTCTCCCGCTCGTAATTATTGTTGAATATAGGAATTTTTTAGCATATTCATAATAGTTAAATTTAGAAAAGGTGTGTGGTTTATGTCTTTCTCCTTCCTTGGCTCGTCAAATAAATATTCATTCATTTGCTGAATTTTGTTAACTAAAGAATTCTGAATTCGAAAATGACCACGTGCGGGAGAGGATTAGCAGGAGTGGATGGTCGAGAGATGACTACGGGCAGGGGTAAATGGGCGGGAGAAGTTGGACTGGAGTCGGCGAACGCGTTGCTTCCGTATACCATCAAACCACTTATTGCAATCTCAATACTCAAGACAAGGATACCAATCCCTACAAAACACCCGCAAAACGTAAACGCTGTCTTCAAACTGTCCAACGAGACGGGGTCCGCCTCAGAAAACTTAATCGTTTTATCCACCTGCGTTACCGCTTTGGTCATAATGGTCCTAAAATTGGCTTTATCTTCCATATTGACGAGGGATCTTAACCGATTCTTCATTTCTTCTAGGACATCCCACTGCTGATAAATTCCCGCTTGTTCAAGTTGCCCCAGCGCGGTTAGATAAATGGGATAGATGAAATTCCTGTGTCCATAGAACGGTCCAACTAACAAGAAATGGGGAATATTGTGATTCCTGATGATTCCCAGGGAATCGTTCGAATAAAGGTCGATCCCTTCGAGAAGTCGCCTGATTTGGTCTTCCGTGTCTAAAATGGCGAACATGTCCCCCTTCAAGGAAACGTTCTCCTTATGAAGAACAGTATTTCCGGTGGAAATTAATGACATGTCATGCGTTATATTGAACGCGATCGCGAAAGATCTTCCGTACACGAATTTCGTCAAGTTGTCCAATTTTTGGACGAATTTTAAAAACGTTTCGTTCACCTGTTTGCCCTGAATATCTTGAAGAATCTGGTCTTTCAATAAGGAAATAGATTTACCCGGACCGTTATATCCAGCCACCGTTGTCAGGATGGGGATACCTTGTTGCACCACAGCTTCCAAACTTTGCGGCACTTCCGGACCAGATACTGCGATCAGGCTGGAGAATAACCCACTTTGATATGCCATAGATAACAGAAACGTGGAAAAGTACCAGGACGCAATGGTTAAGGCGAGTTTTTTATTTCCGTTCAAAAACTCGCGGTTCGTAACGGCTTCATCTGATTGAGAAAATATGACCGATAAGGCCCACATTGTTTGATCCACGATGATCCATTGAAGACCACGGGATGGACGATCACGTGGCGAACCTCCACACCTTGATATGACACTCCCTACGACAACAAATGCTACAAAGGAGATCAAACTGAACATCCAGATGGCACCGTCGAATGGTTTGAGTAGCGCGTTAAAGTTATTAATCAGCTGTTTCCTCGTGACTATGACGTATTCGAAGGGGAAATACGACACAGCTGTGGAGTACAAGACTCTTTTGAACTCTTCCCGCTCAAGTAGCTCATTTATAAAGGGATCGTCCAAGACGCCCCCTTGCACTGGTAGTCCTGCCCTCAATGTATCACCGCGCGTAAGGCGGCGCCCTCTTTTCACGAGTTTTGAATAGTTATATTTTCCCGCGATGATCATATCGATGCAAAATTCTTTACGTAGCTTGAAAAATGCGTACGTCGTGCTGCAATTTTTTGACGTAAAGGTTCCATATTCTTGATAACTTGTGGTATCAAAGTAGATAAATTTGTCACCGAAATTTGTATTGATCGAGGTCCAGATACAGTCCAGCTGGGGTAAAGTGATTTCCTGGAGTGGCGTATTCACTTGAGAAACCCGGGTATTACAAGAATAACAAAGTGTTAAAAAAACACGGTTATCCTGCAGGAATATAAACACTTTCGAAGTTATTGTTATTTCGGTAGGAAAATTTCTCGCGATGGGCGCGTAATCGTGACACAATTGTAGAAAAAGATAATTCGGATTTGTCCCAGAGATTGAGAGAAGATAAAAAATGTTTATAATTGCATTCATCACGAAGTACAGTTGTTTTTTATTTCGCGGTCGTGAAATTGCCTGAATAATCAACAAGCTCCCTGAAACGTATCGCCCTTGCGAATAAATCGGACGAATCGTCAAATTTGTAGTGCCCGCCGATACGAATCGGCTGGCAGAAATATCCCAGTCGGGCATACCCTCAAGGATAAGGGGACTATCGTGACTTGTCAGTAATGGAAATATTTCCGAAAATGATTGTATCCCTTTAAATGTTTTCGGATCTGTGACAACATGTAGATTTAAGGATTGAGTTGTAGGAAAGCGAAAAAAATTGGAAAATAGTATGACAAAACGTAGATTTATGAACATCATAGTGGAAATTTTAAAGTGCGAGTGATACCTAAATACGTACCGTAGAAAATGGTAACTGTACCGTCAAGCTACATATTTTCATAGAATACCTAACATATATAGATATTTATTGGTTTGTTGAATATTCGATAAATTTATCCAGCATAATTGTGTTTTACAAAAACTAGACAAACTTTTTCAAACAAAGAGACACTTTGTATGACAAGAAAATCTATAAATGCTTAAGTGCCATTATCCTTTAGAAAATATTACCTATTCTGCAAAATTTATTTCGCATGTATGCAAATTTCTCACTTATTTATTCTTTTCGTTGTTATACCTTTGAAGATTTTTGTTCTCAGAAACCATATTATTTGTAATCAATACTTGCTAGCACATATGCATTGAAATGTGTAACTTAGCGCTCTTAAAACTTTATGCAGAATTGTTAACATACACTAACATCGAATAATGCAGATTCGTGAAGTGGCTTAAATGTATCGTTATGTACATACAACAGACAATTTTGTAAAGTAATGATCCCCTAAATCTCTATTAGTTACAAGATTTTGGATTGAGATTTTTATTAATTATTATCAAAACTGATGCAACACTGATGACAAAATTCTTAAAATGTTGAATTTCAGAGGTTACTTATATAGGTAACATAGCCTATTTACCTATGTACATAAGTAACCTTTGCAAAGGTTTGTAAATTTACATTAGTAACCTACGTATGTAAATAAATAAATAGGGTGTTGACGCACCCTGAAAAATACTGCAGCGCATTTGAAAAGTAAATGCACTCGGAATTATATATTAAGTAAACCACACTAAATCCAGACTAATCTGTGACCTTTGTTATGTTAACGTTAGTCTGGATTTGCATACAATATACATAGTACCTACTTATAATTTACATATTTACTTAGAGTGCATTATTTTTAAGAGTGTACTCAGACGTAAAATTGTATTCTCGTAAAATCGTAATTCTCATGCAACGTTTCACTTACGGCAATGAAAAAATGTTAATGTGCCAATAAAATTTAAGCCTTGCAAACTTGCTGTCGGAAATTTTTATTCATTTATATTTATAACCTGTATCAGCTATTTTTCAAATTTAGATACTTTTGGACAATTTAAAATATTCGAATATTTTACCAAATTGATTAATTTAATTGATGTCGTTATTTTTAACCTTTCTACCATTTCACCACTTGCTGCACCACGGCTCGCCATTATTTGACGAGATGTTGACGAAGTACGCCGATACGTAGCCGGTCGGAACTTGAAACCAATTCGGATTTCCGTTTACGATCGAACCTAAAATTCATTTCAATAATGATAAAAAAATTAAAATTGGTGAAGCACACGGCATAATTTTAGTAATCACTAAGCCAAGAAAGCGATAAAAATCTTATTATCTTAACCACATTTAAGTTCAAAATTTGCAAGCGTGCCGCAATTTATTGTGTGTATATTTAAATCAATTAAAAATATTAAAATTTCAGATCCATGTAACCGAAAAATTCTGTAACTAATTAAAATTTTTTATATATGTATCAACTAACGGCAGGTCAAAAATTTCTTTCGACATTAAATGTAATAAATACAGAAATTTGACGAATAATGTAAGATGCGGACTGAAAAAAATGATTTCTATGTAGATGTACCTATATTGTGTTTATGTACATGTCTTTCGTGGCTGCACTTTTAAAAATAATTTTACCCGGTTAAAAAAATAAATTTCGCAAACTGTACTAAATCCAGAGTTACGTTAACCTGATCAAGACTAAGTCAATTTTAATTTGATACTTTAGTATACATATTTTGCGGAATTTAGAAAGCAAAACTTTAATTCAAAGAAGATTCAAATAATTCAAAAGGGTAATACGGGTGACATTTTTATGGGTGAAAAATATCTATTAAGCATTGTAAAAATCACCTTCCGTCCTCCACCAAATCTGTGTAATGGACCCATCCGCTAATTGACCCACTGCAGGACTGCTGACATCCGGGCGTTCCCGAACGATCAACCCGCCCGAAGCGGCCACTCTCCCCCGACAAATCCCGTCACCACCCTCGTCCTCCAAAAATTCCCAGGTGACGTCAAACATACCGACGGACAAGGGTCGGAGTACCGTAAAAGCGCCCACGGAAAGGTCAATATTCGTCGTGGCGCAAGACCCGCAGATGTCCCGGATCAAAACGGTGACATTTCTCCCGTTCGACGTGTCTGTGACAATGGCGCGTTGATTGTTCAAGCAAAGTGGATCATTGTTAGGGTTGGCCTCCGTCCAGTATGGCCAGCCTATTGCGGCGACTAGTTCAGAGTCAGAGTGGCGGGTTCCGCAGGCTGTCAGTCCGGCAGAAACGTAGTAGTACGTGGCCTTCCCGGAAACTTAGATTTAAAAATTTTAAATTTTTTAAACGGTGAGCTACATAGTTAAGCAAAATGTTAAGCGAAATTGACTTGAATATCACAATCGTAACTTATATGAAAGTTTGTACCCAGGCAAAAATTGATGAGTGGGGTGAAACAATTATTTTTACATTTACCAAAATAAAGAGATCTGATTAGATATTAAAAGTCCTAATCTTTGTGTATAATCTTGGTAAAATTGCATAATTATTGGATTTGATTGGGGCTAATTGGTATGCATTTCTCCCTGTATAATTATGGACTTATAGTGGAGGTCTCCCCACGTATGCCCACGGATTTTAATTAAATTAGCGGCAATCAGTCGCTAATTTACTTGAGGGAAATTTCCAAAAGGCACTATCTCCCAATGGGAATCTTTGGCAGAAAGAAGAAAAGGTGTAGTAAATTTGGAAGATCTACATTTTGAGCACCCTTTTCTCCTTTTTGGAATACCCCCAAAAATATTTAGTACGTTTTGCAAATGCCAAACTAATTAAATTTGTAATCGATTGATGTTAATTTCGTCAAGATTATAGTGCATACGCTGCCAGACCTACGTTACAAACGGATTTCAAATGTGTACGAAATATTGTATACAATATTTTTCTAAATGTTTCGCATACTTGCAGCAACGAAGGTGACATGGTGAAGGCTAATTCCCAAAAAGATAGAGAGTACAAACCCGTATGAATTTCTCATTTTGATTTTGATCAGTTAGAAATGATGAGCGTTTTAATGCCGAAAAGTAAATGGGGACGAATAAATACGCTGCAATTTGTACATCTATGTACTTATATGCAGTTGAGTTAATGTCGCTGTCTTATCTGTCCATTAATTGAATATATATTCAGAAGGTTATCAAATGTATCGTTTCAAGTATGGAAATCCCAATCTTGCGTCCAATCAATTATTGGGGAACAGGCGATTGCAGAGCAGATTCAATTATTTGATAAATGGAATTGATGCGTTGTATTTCGTCAAACAAATCGGACTGATTACACTTAGGAAATTATTATCTTGGTAAATTCCAGTGCATTTACACATGTGACATGTATGTATGTATGAGTAAATTTGCATATGATTGCTAAATTTGTTTGGTCACAGCACGTTTTTCTAATTTTAGAAGATATTTTTATAAAAATGAATGTATTCAGACAGCTAGAAATTTATTATAGTCAAGCAGGTATTGGTTTCTCGTAGGGTTGCCCCGGGTAGTGGTACTACCCGGTACCCGGCTACCCGGTACTCGGCCTAAAATTTTTGCCGGGTACCCGGCTACCCGGCCGGGTACCGGGTAATGTTTATATATTTAAAATAACAGGCATTTTTCTAGTTTTTCTAAAATTTGCAACAATTTTATAAGTTTTAAAAATTGAAAGTTTAATTCCTACAGTTCAGACTTCATTTTTAACCTTCATATCAAATTTGGGATGAAAGTAAGATTTTGTAAAAATTTCGCCTTCTCAATGGTATGGTTACATTCACTTTGGTTCCCCCAATCCACCAATACGACCCACACAGGTCAACTAGGTAACCGATGTAGCCTATCTTTGAACCTGTTTCCTATATATTTGTCTAATATCTTGCAATAATAATAATCTTGCAAATTTCTAAAGCATTCGCAAGTTATGCTTAATGTGCTAGATACGCAAATTGACTGATTGAAAATTGGTTGACGTGAATACACTCAAAGTATCTTTAAAATTTACATGATAATTTCCAATGGCCAAGGTTGTACCCATTCTTTCCAAATATATTATTTCATACCAAGTACAAAAATGAAATCCATCGGATCATATGTATTTTATCTAAGCTTTTGCATTTTAAGTTAGAAAACTGAATATTTAAATTACCCGGCCGGGTAGACCGGGTACTTAAGTATACCCGGCCGGGTACCGGGTATCCCAAAACAGGCCGGGTATGCCGGGTACCGGGTAGTTACCCGGTACCCGGGGCAACCCTAGTTTCTCGGTACAAAAGTTGCCACCACGTGGTAGTAAAGCAACCAAAACGTTAACACCGAGATATATTACGGTACAGTATTACAGATGCAAATCACTTGAAAACTAGAGTTATACATATATGTATTAATACCGCATAGTTTTATTTTAATACTGGATTTCTAAGAGTGTATCTTTATATTTTAGCTTATAGAAATACGTGAATATTCACAGATCATGAAAATTTAACGATTCTATATAGGAACAAGTGGCTCATCCATCATTATCAAAAATCAAACCGGTTTGGCATCCTGATCACCTGAATTTATTTTACGGGTCGTCACAATCAATGCAAAACTGGTTGAAAGAAAGTTATTATTGACACGATTAATCCTACATATGTCCAACCAATACATTCACATCTATATACTATACTCAAGGATTATTCGTTTATTTTAGTAGTCACGGCACAAGAGCACGGTTGCATTAATTTTAGAATTCAGCATTTTATGAAATATACCATACGAATTTCGTTTACATCATTCGCCGCCCGAATTTTGGTAGGCTCTTTGTGACCCCCTAATTGACCAATTTTGCCTGTTTTTGCTGGTTGTTGTTTTTGTTAAAGACTAATTATAAATACATACACCAATTATCGCAGAGTATTCTACCGTAAGGTGTGACACAGGATTATACTTATTAATCTAACATATTTGATAACGAAGCACAATAATTTTGTGACATGTGGCGTACCGTAAACTGTCCACAACGCGTCATGGTACGTAGTAAAAATTATTTTTGATATAACACGCATAAATTATACAATTTATCAGAAATTAAATTTTGTTTTAGATTTTCCTGCTTTCAATTTTTATCACTGGTGGGCTCTCTGTCCCAATTAACATTGTAGATAATCAAACTGCAACGTTGACCATGCGACCGTTAAGGGAGGGATCTTTTCGTCCCTCACAGGTAAAAACAACGCCTGTAAAATTAAAAAGAAACAACGTCAGTAAAATAAAAAAAAACAAGCCCATAAGATTTTTTAAAACAACGCCGTAATTAATGAGTGATTAGAATACTTCAGTTAGCATGGCAAAATAAGGTTGCGAAGTTTGTGAAAGATGCGTGAATATTTACTCAAAAAGTGCATAGCGTTGTTTATGAGAAAGAATTCTAAGGCTCCGAAAATTTCACATCACCAATTTTTCACCTTTTTTAGTAACCGTTTAAAAACGAGATTGGCGAAATTCTGGTGAAGGTGTAGATATTTTATTAAGGAATTATCGATTTAGAAAGATACATATTTTAATAAAATTGCATTACGAATGTTTAATGATTTATAAATACTGTAAACCTAATCCACGTCGTTTCACTTTAAGAGTTAAATATATTTAAAAGGCTGGATTTCAGGAAACCTTGTAAACTACTAACTCTGCCATTTTTAACCTATTCCAGGGAGACATAATTGTCCACCGAGTATCAAAATCTCGTCAGGATGGAGCTATTAAACCCACCAAAAGGGCTGGAAGGCAATTCATTATTTATGGTGGATGGTTAGTTCCCTCTCCAAACTCTCTCTGATAATGATGACAATAACAAAATGTTTAATTGGCAAAATTTGGGGTTTCCCTGATCGAGCATCACAATCACGACGATATAATTTCGATGGAAGTCTTGTCCTTCTAATTTCTTAACAGAGAAATTCTACAAATCCATATCTATGTACACCCTTAGAAATCTGGTATAGTCAAACAGGTATTGATTTATAGATAGGTAATAAAGTACCTACGTTTAGTATTAAAGTTATACCGCCCCATAAAAATTGCTCCCGACATGGGAAAACTTTATTCTCGAGCCACAACTTCAGGGTATGACTAATCAACACTACTCACAATAGAACCTTTTTTCAAGCTATACCGGGATTCACTAGCGAGTTACGTCAAAAAATCAAGCCAAAAATTAGGAGTCACATGACACCTATATTTCCGTAGAAAGGCCCTTTTGAAGAAAAATATTGGGGGTCAAAGTTCGAACTTCTCCCTGGTTTTCACCGCATGGAGGAAAAAGCAGTTTGCAGAAAGTTTGCTCAATAACTGAACTTTTGCGCCAATCTTCAAAGGGGCCATTCAACGGAAAGAGAAGTGTCACGTGACTCCTTATTTTTGGCTTGATTTTTTGACATAACTCACTAGTCGATCCCGGTATAGCTTGAAAAAAGGTTCCATTGTCAGTATTATTATAATGCTGGATTTCTTTGAGTGTAGTAAGTTCGATTTTTTTGAGTTGCATTTGCACCCAAATTACTCAGGATGCGTACTTAGGTCTAGGAAATTTCGCACAAGATAGCTAATAATTTATGTATTTCACCAAAAAGCTTCACACTACGCAAAATATTACACGCTAACTGATTTACACATGTATGTATGCATATAAACGGGATTTATGTTCACATAAACTATGAATAATTTTGACCTGCATAAATAGTTCTACCTCAACCTATGGAGGTGGATACGCGCTGCCAAACAGTTTCCCCCCAGGAGGACAATACAACACGCGGGGATCCAATTTCTGGGACGAACTTAAAGATAAAGATAACATAGATCCGCTATTTAATCAAGGATGAAATTTAAAATAAATAAGCTAATTTTTATAAAATAATGTTAAGTGAGGCTTACCGGTAAAAATAAAATAGTCTTTTACACATATGAAGTTTCTTTATTCTTTGAATTTCTCGTCACACCCTGCCGCCAGCTCGTTCAAATACTTGCGCGCTTTTCGAAGTTCAATCCTTATATTTTCTCCATGGGCTATCCATAGCAAATGTATTACTTATCCTAAGAAGAATGAAATCCTTCTAACTCCTCCAATAATAAATGTACCTATGTAAAATTTGCACAAAGTAAATTAGGATGACTAAACAATTTATTCTACGTTGGATTAGTTTTCCACGATTGCACATGTATGTGCTGAACCAAATGTTGTTTCGCAAGACTTGCTCTTTCAAACTAACATGGTCAAAAAATAATCTGGGCTGAACATGGTTTGCGCCTCCATTGTGAGTAGGAGCAATTTTCAGTCAACACTTTATATTACAAACAAGTGTGTTTGGGGACCGTATTTAGCAAGTTTAGCAGTCTTACTTTATTTTTGGAATTTCAGCTGCCAGGCGACCCTTCGGGGCTATGGAGAAAATGGTTGGGAAGTTAATATTTTTGGACTTACTTCCGCTGGAGAGAAATTGATGAGATCGGCTTATCCAGAAATCGAAGTTCGCGGAGAAGGTGTCACCATGTATTTGCACGTGGGCGAGCAGTATTCACCGGTTTCCACTTTGGATGCTTATCGGAAGAGTGTTAGCGATTCAATGAGGTATGTACTTAAGGGTAAACTTTAATGGGGGCTGAGATCATATCAAATCTTTCAGCATTAAGGGCTTAATTAGCATGTCATCGTTTGCATCACGTTAAAATTGTTTAATATAAATATTTGTTAATACTGCCTCGTAATAAAATCTTGAGTTTGCTAATTAAACACGTGGAAACAGATGTATTGGCATACAAACCACAAATAAACCCTTACAAACGAATATAAAAAAGTAGCGTCAGAACGATCGAAATTTCCTTTAAGGACGGGTAGGAGTTGGGTATAGATTTTAATAATATTTAACATTTTCACTGTGTCATTTGGCGTTCAACTCATGCAATTTCCATTTTCTTTTAAAATTAATTTTTCGAAACTGTAAATGGAATTTATGAACAAATGATGTATCGTTGGAAAGGTCTCGGCGAGAGGATTCAGAATATATATACTTTATTGGGTGTATGGCCACTCCCTGAATTTCCAGAGACCGAAGAATATTTCTGAGTTTGTGCCCATCTCTTGCATGTTAGCTCCCAATCTACTTGCTGTGTTAAATTCTGGAGAATTCAAGATTTCCATTCTTCTACTTCTGGAGCATGAGGGAGTGGTCCTACACCCAATAAAGTATATACATTTGGAATCCTCTTATCGAGACCTTTCAACGATACCCCAACTGTGGGGATCGGGGACCTTTGACCTCCCAACCTTTCAGTGCCGAAACAAGGTCACGCAGGTCGATTTCGGCTATAAGTGCAATTTGACTATTGTTTTACTACTAAAGACCTACAACATATAAAAAATTGGGGAAACTGGAGCTGACGGGCATGCTTTCAGCGTCATTTCTAAAAAACAATTTTTCAAAACATGCATCCTCATTTTTGCATCAATATTGGATTTTTTTGTTGCAAAATGTGTCAAAATGTTCAACTCCCAAAATTACTGAAGTTTGACCTTGAAGTCGCTTTCATGGTCACACCATAATTCTTTTCACGGAAAAAAATTAGAAAAAGTTGCATTGTTCCATGTATACCCCACGTATCCTTTAAAACTTCAGTAACTTTGTGGGGACTAAATTTACGCGTCGATTGGTGCAAAAAAAATCGAAATTTTATTGCGTTTTGACGACGCCCAAAGTTTTTGAAACGATAACATGGGAGCTTATGGGAGGCCATAGTTACATACTCCCCGTCACACAGTGGGCCAGATTTAATAAATTTTGGCCAAAAATACATAGAAGCCGAATTTGAAGAAACTAGAACTAGATATTGGTGTGCAACAATAACCTAAGGCATATATTATATGAATAAATTTTTAATAGTCACATGCCACACCCCCAGTGGGTGTGGCCCTCTGCGACTTTTCGATTTCAACGAAACCATGGCATGTGACATATCATTTTTCTCAGCTCAAGGAGGGGACCTCGACAGAATCATTATAATTTTGACACCACACCCCCAGTGGGTGTGGCTTTAAGCAAATTGTAGATTTTAACGAAACACTGTAGTGTGATATGTCATTCTTTTCAGCTTAATTAAAGGTATCGATGGAATACCTAAAATTTAGTAAACCACACCCCCAGTGGGTGTGGTTCCCAGAAAATTGTCGATTTTAATAAAACCATGCCATGTGTTATATCATTCTTCTCAGCTCAACAAGGATGTTTCGACAGAATACTAAAAATCAGCGTTCAGCGACTTTTCGATTTTAACTAAACCACGTCATGTCATGTAATACATCATTTCTCTTAACTAAACGAGGGGATTTCGACAAAATAATTTGAATTGGATTACGTAAACTAAGAAAAACCCACTTTCAAACTTTGTAATTTTTTACAATTTCTTGCTGCATTTTTCAAAATTTTGAAATAGCATACAAAGCTTTAAACCTTTACAAATGTATTTTTCTAATCTTTTTTTTTGTAATTTTCGAGAAAAAATGGTTTTGTACTTTCATTTTTGATATAGGGTTAAAATTATATAACATAAAAGTTTTTGACAAATTTAAATTTGGGCTGAAAATGCCCTCTAAACCGCCACAACCGAAAACGCGAGCCTTCATGGAAAAGCAAAAATACGGGTAGTGCTATTTCGGTGTGGGAGAAATTTAAAATCGGAGAAAACAACTGAATTCCGCACCCACTGGGAGCGTGGTTTCAAAATTCTAATTATTCTGTGGATATCCACCCGTATAGCTGAGAAAAATGATATATCACATGATATTGTTCTCGTTAAAATTGAGAATTTTCTTAGAGCCACACCCAGTGGGGGTGTGGTGACAAACTTTTGATCATTCTATCGAGATCCCCTCATCGAGCTGAGAAAAATGACATATCACATGACATGGTTTCGTTAAAATCTAAAAGTTGCCGAGGACCACACCCACTGGGGGTGTGGTTTCTAAATTTTAATGAATCTGTCGAGATTCCCTCGCCGAGCTGAGAAAAATGATATAACATGACATGGTTCCGTTAAAGTCGAAAAGTCGCCGAGGGCCACACCCACTGGCGGCGTGGCATGTGACGATTTGAACATTGCTAGTAGTGCCCAGGCTGTCGAGGTATTTTTTCGACATGCACTTCGATTTTTATTGTTTGAAATTTTGCGGTATTCGTTAATTTGATTTTACAAGTTGCTTGACCTTGTGACCTTAATTTCGAGGGGGTGTGGTCGAATTAAAAAAAGCTGAAAATATATGTTCCGCCCATTGACCTGGGGTTTCCGAAACAGTCGCCACTTTGAAAATCGGTCAACAATTGGAAAAGTAATCCGAATTTCAACTTTCAATGTTGTTAAGCATGACAAGATCGGCCATCAAGCCTTTCAGCAAGAAATGTCTTTAATTTTGATTCCCCTACCAGAGGGTGTGGTTTTTACACCCAAAATACGTTCCTGCTACCACCTCAGTTTGCTCAGAAAGTCCAATGAGTGAGTATACTTAAAGCATACTTGAGTAAAGGCAATTCAACTTAAATTTGATTTTTTTAACTTTAACGACTAAAAGTGGGTGTGGTTGGAATAAAGCTTGATGGTCGCAGACGGTCGCAGCAGGGTATACTTAGCACACCATGGGCTATTTAATGGCATGAGTTTTGAGTCCGCAATGCGTGAAGTTTTGTGAAGTTTTTAGAAAATATGTTCGCCCTATCTTCGTAATGTATTATGAAAAGTTTACCCCACGGGTACACTCGAGTGGGTGTAACATTTGGTTTTATATTTTGCATGGAGGGCATCTTGGTTCTATACTACACGTTGAAATATGTGAATAGCCAATTCAAGATACCGCCTTAATGGCCACATTTTTAGGCTCCTGGCCCATTGTGCGACACAGAGAACTTAATAAATAAGTTAATGTCGCGTATGATAGACCGTCTTTCTACGCAGCATGTTCAATCAATGGTTATCAAAATGTGCGACTGCCTGGTGTACAGCCTATCCTGATTAACTCAGAACCAATAATAATAACAATTGCACTCGCATTCACTTACATATGGAAAAATAATAAATTGAACAATTATAAAATAGATATGTGATACAAGCACAAAATAATAAATACAATAAATATACACATACCTCAATATCTTGAACTTATTTAGCGATTTATTTTTTGCCAGATCATATTCAATTAAATCCATAAGTGCATTTACAACATTCCTTCTTTCCTGAATAAATCGCTTCGTTAGACATCGCACCAACGCTTTCATAACTCTTTGTGTGTAGAGCCCCGACGAAACATATTGTCCTTATCCTGCTGGAGAAGCTTTTATATGGCGTGGTCAACGTATAAAGGTCTGCGTAAGGTTTAAAGACTTTGCATATATGTATTTATCTAATAGCAAAAGTAGGCGCGTGAATCTCCCCCAAACTCTAGTCAAATGGAGATTGATTAAAGCAAAAAACTACTTCAAGATGATGAAGATGCTGCAATCTTAATTAACTGATATTGACACCACAATGATCTAGCTTTGAATTCACAATACAACATCACCGCGGCCACGCTAAGCATGCCAAACCAGAAATAATATATTGTCACCATGTTCCCTCCAATTCCTATCCCGGTCCATTTTAACTTTTCTTGATCAACCTTTGCCACTAATTTTCTAAGGGCCAAAAGCTTCTGAAATTTCGAGACATCTATCCATTTGGAATAAATACAAGAATGAACTAAAGCACTAAATGCAACAAGAACTTTAGACGTCGTCCAGTATTTAAGAATAAATCCTACAGAATCCTTCAGAAGTTGCTCCTTTCCAATAACGGCAGTTCCACCAGATATTTGTCGTGTTTTCAGAAGCAAAAACATTTCTTCGATTTCACCAACTCGAAGAGTGAGTGCGGACTTACTACAATTTGATATTTCGTCGACGTAGGAAATGCTGGGTCCGCTTTTAATAAGCTCAAAGATTCTTGGTGGCAAGTGTATATTGTTGGATAATTTTTGGTAAAATCGAATGAACTCATCTTGTCCTTTAGAAGATGTAAAATCCAACAGTTCACCCATTGCGTTCCCAATCTCAGTGCACTTAACACTTATCTCGTGCGGGGCAAGATCTGTAAAAACGTCTACTGTAGTTGGGGAATAAGTTTTCCCGTAAATGTTAAATCCTCCATCTAATAAGTCTTGATAGGTTTCGACGAGCTTTGGCCTATTTGGTGATGTCAAGCTTGTTATGTTATCTCCTTTATACGCGTTACTAATCACGATTGACATAAGCATCCATGTCATCGCGATGGGATAGGTGAAGCTCGTTTTCGGGTTTGTCAACCAAGAGTCACCTTGTTCCAGTAGGGACTTCACAAAAGACAACATCAGACACTGTAGACTTCTCTGTTTGCCTATGGAATGTGAACTCTTGGATAAGACGTCTATGATTATTGGAGTGACGAGGACTGAGCTAAGCAATAACGTCCACGTCCAGACGTCAAACGCGGCAACGTAGCCATTGAAACTCACCCGCGACCCGATTTGTTTTATCCCATCGCACGTAATGAATTGAAAAGCTACTTCTTGATAACTAGCAAACTTCCCGTTTGTGTCAAAAACTTCTAAAGTTGGAACGCTTGGCTTACTGTAGACAAATCGACATAACTGTCGCTTACGACAAATCGGTGGGATTTGGTGTGAGTATGGTATACTTTTCCGTATCCGGCTAAATTTGTACTGAATGGTTACAT